TCTTTTTCAGGAAAATTTACATTTGTGAATATGAAATTTAATCACCAGTAAAAACATGACTGTTTTTGTGATTCTCCAAGAGACCAAATAATAAATGTTTTCATAGCAAAAACAAAACAAAACAACAACAACAAAACTGATCTTCAGTAGCCTATTTAACATTAAAATCACAAGAAATTTGAACCTACATTCAACATTTTTTTTTTGTTTGTTTTTTAATTTCAAAATCTGACGTAATTTAGACAGCACTTGCTGTTGGATAATGGCTGCATCCGAAAACTGTAAACTTCCAATGCAGGAAGGCATCAAGGCACGGCCGAATCCACATTCTGCTTTACTTCCTGTCTCCGGAGGTACCCTTCTTCTGATCGAATTTTGAATGCAGCATTGATGTATCCTTCGCTGCCTTTGATATCCCACAATCCTGTGCGTTCCATTCCGTGATAGTTGAGCTAAAAAATAAAGATGGCGTCTGAAAGTTGCGTTTGGTGGTCAGTTTGCGTGTAAATGTATATTTCTGACTAACTTTTTGCACTTTTTATGTTATTTCTAGCGATAAATCAGTATTATAGTAATTAAATATTCGCTTAGTTATCACAAAAACTTGTTCTATTTTGTTGTAGATCATTAAACCATTACGCTGCCTCAGAAGCCTGTCCGAAATCAGTTTCATGAGGTGCCTTCGTGCAAAAACGCTGCCTGCAAAGTCATTGCCTCATACGGCAGCGATGCAGCAAGTCAGCTGCCTAAGTTTTCGGATGCAGCCAATGTTAACCAATCGCCAAATACTTATGCGACGGTCAAGGGCGCCATCTCTCGGAGAAGCATCGATTTGACTCCAGTGATTCTGGCATGACTCACACACCCTTGTCAAATTTGGCTCCTTCTCCAATACAGTTTTAACGATAAATCCTTTTCTGACGATCAAGATCACAGAGCACAGAACAATTTCACAATATTTCACAACATATTTCATCACTTCGTCCCGTATTTTGCGTTAACTGTTAAGATCTAGTGATGCCCGATTCGCGAGTGAATCGCTTAATTGGGGCACGTGCTTAAACGTTTGGCCGTTTTTTTTTTAAATGGTAAAACAAAACTGCTGTGCGACAGTTTAGAACTAAAAAAAAATTAGCACTGGATGAAATGGTTATTTTTTACTTGCAATCAGTTGAAACAAACGTGTATAAATACATTTTATTCTCGTCAGTGATGAAGAAGGACTTTATTAAGCTCAACACCTCCACGAGAAGCTGGTGAAAGACGATTTTCTACTGCAGGTAAAGACTTTTCCCAACCAAAATACAGTAGGATCAATTCACTAACACAACTCGAACACGTTCTTACATTTATCTTTCTGGACATGTGTCGTAGATGTGCCATGTAGGCCTGCCTTGTTGAGACTATCACTGTACCATATGTATTGGCAGCCTATAGGGTACTTTTTGAAACGGTATTTTTGAGAACCTTTATATGCCTTCAGTATTATTTGTTATTGAAGTGTGTTACAATCACACTTGCTCTACAGGCCAGTGAGGATGTTCCTCCTTTTGCTGTGTGTGAATAGTTAGGCATGTACTGCCCTCTTCAGCTCAGACCTCATCATTGCAGATGAAAGATATGTGTAGCTAAACCTCTGACAGTGCTAGTAGTCTTATAAATTCATTTTTGTTTGCTGTTCATGGACACACAGAAACACGTGCATGGGAAATGACTCTTTATTGTAATGCCATAATGGATCAGGATGTTTTGTTTGCAGAATGGGAAAACCTTTATATCACAGCTGAACCATAAAAAGACAATTTGAGATTTTCATGCAGAAATATGTATATTTATGTTTAAACAGGCAATATTCTTGTAATATGTAATGTATCTGGTCAGCTATGGTACTTCTTTGTGAAAAGACATGTCTTTGCTCATCACAACAGGATATTTTTAATTTAACATACTGTAGGCCTATATAGAGTGTGTACAATTTGTCACAGACTTGATTATATTCAACAACTAGCTATAAAACAACAATAAAATAAGCTGCCTTTTGCTGAAGTCATCATAAAATCAAAATTCAACTATTCTTATTTTTTATAGAATATTGCAGTGTTTATTATGAATTATTTATCTGTTCACATCATTATTGTATTTCATTTTAATTCATGTGCCCTCGTAATCTTTAATCATAATAACTACCCTGCCCCCTTGCAGCTATCTCTTCTCTGATGACGTGTTCACTGGCACAAGGGCAGGACAATAACCTCTCCGCTCCAGTAACCTGTCACTCATATCAGATCACACCAATAGTAAACGACAACAATCAAACAATCCAATCAATTCCCGATGGATAAAATCAAGTCCCAGTGTCCCGCCTTACAACTTTTTTTGTTTAACAGGTTTCTAAAAGACCCAGCTATGGAGTTTTTGCCTCTGTAGTGGACATTATATTTTAGTGAATTTCTCTGATTCCTCACATGTCACAGTTTTAGTCTGGAAGTCCTGTACAGAGCACATTCAGGGCTTTCCAGCGATACCAAATGATTGGATGTTTCACCATGACCACTCCCTCTCCTTGGTTTTTAAAAATGGCTGACATTAATTTAGTGATAAAATTGTACATCCTTATGGAAAGATGATAATATTTTGTAATTATAATTTAAATCTGATTAATTTTCAAATTGTTTGTCATAAATCAACATCTCAGGAAAATGTTATGGGGTTTCAAATCAAAATATGACCTTCTGTTACGAAACAGGACATCATTTCATACATGTCCACTGTAGAGGACACCAGGACTAAAAGCATGTTTATTATACATTTTGGGAGACAAAAGAACTGAATAGGAAAACAAATTATATATCAATATTCTTATGAAATATTAGATATTATTATGAAAATCTGGCCAATTACTACTCCCATCATTACACTTTTTTCAACATGCTGTCCCAACAGCACTTTAATATGCAAATTAGATACAGTGTATAGATAACATTGTGCTTAATGGGAAAAACAGTTTATGCAATTTTTACACACATATTGCATAAAGCAAAATGGTATATCAAATAATTTTGTTATATATTTTATAACATAGTTGAGAACCATCCTTAAACAAAGGTAGTTATAAAAAAATCCTGAAACCTAAAAATTGATTGGTGATTTAAAAAAAATTCCCATTGTTTTTGCCTTTTCATGTCTACTCTTGTCATTTTATTTGTAGAAAAACTGAGTCCTGGTGTCCTCTACAGAGGACATAGCATAAC